TGAATTGTTGTTCTTCCACATAACAAGTAAGGCTATACTCCATAGAGATGTTTCATTTGTATCAACATTTCGAAAGCCCATTGCGTTTAACTTTTGCACTGCTTAAATGCATTTGGTTATATGGCATTTATGAGGATCCGTTTTTAAACGGTGGCTTTGTCCATATGGTTGCTTCTACGAAGTGGGAGGAAGCTATAACCTGTATAAAATGGGTATTGGTTGAGCTAGATCCGTCGTGGTTCAGGTGGCAAAAGTTAAAAAAAATCATAGTTGCGGGTTTGATTTGATTAATAAATTAGCTGTGCTTTGATTGACATTTATTTAGTATGAATTAACTTATCTGTTTTATTGGATTGTGGAAGATGTCTTAACATATTCAATATCTTTATGCATTGACTTTACTTCTTTACAACTATCAATGAGTAATTATTTTTAAATCAAAATAAGAATGTGGGTCTTGTGCTTTGCATGAAATTTGAGGTAAGTTGTATGGTTCATGGCTTATGCATGGTACGTCTTTTTATAGATTTTGTATTATATATTGATTGATTGAATGTCACATTAATTTATATGAAAAAAATCATATTAAATATAGTGGGAAAAATAAATAATTAATTGTGTCAGCCAGCCATCTAGTGTGCCATCAAGTTGAGTTTGAATAGTGTTTCTGTGGTGGTAGTTTAGGAGCAAAGCACTAGGAGCGTTAAGAATGCATGAAAACAACCCTGTATTGTAAATAGTCTAAGCGTTGCAAACAACCCTGTATTGTAAACTACCACCAACTTGCAAACAACCCTGTATTGTAAACAATCCTTTGGCATCCTTATTTTAGATCCCTTCCCCTTCCCAACTTGAATACATGAATGGGCTAGGCTTAAAGTTTTAATCACCCGATCTCAACTACTCTGAGGAAATTGCTTCCGACATTGGGAGGTTTTACAAGTCTGTCCTATGTTTGGGAGATTAAGTTGCTCTAGATATTCAAAATGATTTCATAATAGCATGTTGAATGTTTGGCGATGGAGGGATTACTTACAAAAAAGGGGAGGATTTCTGTTATGAACTACATGTAGTTAGCTAGCCTCTTTTTTGCACGTTTTATGTGGCCTTTGTATTTGATTAAAAAAAAAAAAAAAAGAGAACGATTACTTGCCATCTTTAGTCACCCGATCGTTTCATAATAGCATGTTTGTCTAAATGCTGTTGTGACTTGTTTCCAAAAGTCATATATAAGGCTTCACTCATGATCTATTTCATCCTTCATTGTTCTGATCTGGGTTTTAATCTCAATACCATAATTTCAGACCTGAATTCCTGGATTGCACGGCAAGGACCGGTCTAGACATGCTTTCAAAGCATTATTATCAAGCGGCTGGTGCTTGGGTTGTTTCTTTGTGCCTGAAAGCGATGTTGACATTGAATACTACAATGAATTCATGCATTACCTGGAGGAAAAGCGTAGGGCTGCAGTTGCTAAGTTAGATGACAGAAATACCTTGTTTCTTGTGCCTCCATCAGATTTCTCAGAGAAAGTATTGAAGGTACCTGGAAAGTTGAGCATATCTGGTGTGGTTCTAAGGTTGGACCATCCTGGTTCAACTCAAGGGTCCATGCACAATCAAAATGAGGCAAAAGATGGAAAGTTGTTGTCATATCATGGGGATGCATTGTATCCAAAGCCAGTGATGCCTTCGGCTCGTAGTCCCCCTCCATTTACATCCACTCCTGAATTGGGTACATCTGGAATGAGCAATCCTTCTTTCCTTGGAAATAAAACTTCAGCAGCCATGCCTGCCTCAGTTTCTGGTTCAGCTCATGCCATAGTTGGTGCATCAGGTTCCCATGATGGAAGAAGGGGACACGATTATCCAGTTCAACAGCAGAACCATACATCTGGGCCAAATTGGTCTGCTAACAATCTCCAGCCTTTAATCAATAGAAATTTTCCATTACAACAATCAAATGGTGCTGTTGAACCTCTTACTCAGGATCATCAGCTGAGCATTCAGAGGCCAGTGCTAGATGTCGATTCAAATCAACGTATGGGTGAAAACAAGTCATCTCTTCAGGAAATAAGGCCACTGGATTCTCTATCTCTGGCTGGGGGATCCCTGCAACAAGAGCAGCTCGCACAGCTTGCAGCATCTCTTCTTGAGCATCAGAGGCAATCAGGAAGCTCTCTGAGTGTATCCCCCTCAGATGATCCGAGGCAAACTCAGAGAGTTAACGGGTCTGACACCTCCTCCAGACCATCCCAAAAGTACCCCACTCAAAATAACTCAATGAATCCTGAGCTTGCAACATCTCAGTATGGACAGGTTCTCCAACTTCAAAGGCAACAACAGATGTCAAACGTGCCTCAAGGATCACAGATGGTTCAAAGAGAGCCACAGAGAGTGGCCAACGGAAATCAGCAACCGTTAACTGGTAGTAACTTGCAGCAAGATGCAGAAGCAGATCCCCAGAAGCGGCTACAAGCGACATTACAGTTGGCTGCAGTTCTTCTTCAGCAAATTCAGCAAGGGAAAGGAAGTTGAACAGAGCCTGGTGAATCTTGGCACCTTTTAGTATGTCTGAGCTTAGATTATTTAATGAGAGTTACGGCTTGTAAATGGTATGGTTAGAGTTTCAGTTTATGCAGGGCTCTTTAGGCAATCTGTGATTCATAATAGTGATGCTGGTTCTTGGCTTTCGGATAAACCATCTGGTTTAAATTGGTTGTACACTTCGTCCCCTCGCTGCCCTCACCATTCCTGCTCCCTTGAGGTTCTTATTAATGGGGCAAATACTTGTCCATTTAGTATATTGTTATTTTATATAACCTAATCTAAGAAAGCCTGCATTTAGACAACATTCTTGTTTTAGGATGGAATATCTCCTATTCAGTCCTTTTTCCTCCTTTTAAATGTTTAATGTTATAATTATGTTTAACCCCAAAAAACAACGCATGATAAGTCATTCTTGTATAATTGTATCCCTGATCAAAAGCATTTTGGAGATAAAAAGATTAAGAGAAAAAAATAAATTTATCTGTTGAGAAAATACTACTCTAGTCTTTATTGTATTTTGTTTTAATTACATGAATGTTTTATAATTGCATCCAAACCTCGAGAAATAAGTTTTAATAAATGATAAAAAATATAAAATATAAAATTTATTGGATAAAAATAAATAAATTTTATAACATTAAAACATTGAAAATATATGCATTAAAATTATTTTTATGTTGTATAAAAATTGTTTTTTGAAAACGTTTAAAATAACATTTATGTTAAGAAGGGATTTTTTTTGGTTAAAACAAGTTTTGATAACAATTAATCAATGGTTTGGATGGACGAAAAAAAAATTCTCAATAGTTTTTGCATAAGATACATTTAAATTTTAAAAAAAGATTTACATACATTTTCAAAATTAAGAAATAGTTTCTGTAAAGTTAAGTAAATTAAGATAATGATTGGAGTATTTTATAACGTTTGAATTCCCATATTTTGCTGGTCTTTTACTCTTTTTCATAGAGAAAAAGCCCGAGTTTACCTCTTTTTTCCTTTTCTTTGTTTGTTTTTGGTTAAATAAGCCTTTAAAAATGGTTGTGAAATACTCCCTTCCATTCTTAATTAAGCTTCACTTTGTTGTGTAAATTATATTATAAAATAAGTCCAAAGCACCAAAAATATACTCCTCTGATTCTTAATATAGGATCTAATTGTTAAGTTAATTTTTATCCTAAATATAATACCTATTTATCATATTTATTAATTTTTTCTAAATTACCTCTATGGATATTTCCTCAACCATAATCAAGTAGAAAGGGGAGGGAGGATATTAAAAAAGATGATTATGATGTTTTAGGAAAAACATGTCATATTTTTTATAATTAACTAATTTACCTAACTTTCTTAATCTAATCAAATTAGTTAAATAGGTCTTATATTAAGAATAGGAGAAGTGCATTTCATGCATTAAAGATATTGAATATCCCATTGACAATGTAGAGTCCAAAAGACTTTTATGAATCAAATTTTGTGGAAAGTAAAATGCAGTTTCAAGGTTTAAGTAATATACTTCACACTTTTTCAAATTAATATGAAAATAGACTACTTTAAATGTAGATCAATAAAATTGACTTGTTCTGGCAAAAAATCTAATGCCTTCATCTTGACTGTTATTTTTCTTTTATTAATATAGGCACAAACGAGTGTTATTTTGGGAAAAAAGTTGTTTAAATTTTTATTATATATTTTGAAGCATACATTTTAACTCTAGAATCTAGTCGGAGTTTAATTTTTTAAATAAAGTAGTTCGATAAAAATTGTGAAAAAGGACATTTTAATTGTAAAGCAGAAGAGGCAATGCATTGTTTTTCTAAGTTTTTTCTGAAATTGCAAAAACTTATGTTCTATTTCAAATATGTACTATGATTCAATTTTACAAATAATCATAAAAATTTAATTAAAAATCTAGCAAAACTAGATCAAGTTATAGATCAATTTTCGCATATACGAAAAGGTTTTTCGACTAGATTTTTGGTCAGGAAATTTGATATTTCTGGGGCTATTTGCTATTCTCTCATATTCTCTACACATTAATTTATTAACCTTCCATATTGATTTTTGGTTTAATGAAAGAAAACTATTATATAATTAACCCTTTACCGACTTAAAAAATACTAGGTAATTTTTTTTTCTGCGAGCTAAAAAATACTGGGGAATTAGACATTTCCATATCTTGAACCCCAAGTAAAAGGGATCCACTTAAAAGTCGTAATCATGAATTTATTTCATAATGTACAGCTGTAAGTGAATATGCAATAAAATTTCGTCCAAAAAACCAACAGAATAGGAAATAAAAAGGGCCAACTAGCCGTTACCTTTTGAAAACGCTCCTGGCTGTCCTAGACCCTCAGCACCGACACGCTCCTCTTCCTCACAGTTCGGCTCGCTTGCTTACACACTCACTCTGAGCAGCTCGATTCTCTCGTGATCTCGCCCTCTTTGGTCCAACGAAGACCCTTAAGATGATGTTCACGGAAGGTCTAGACGAAAGCGCAATCAAATGGATCAAGCAGGTTCATTTTTTTCCCCCTTTCCATCCTCACTGGTTCACCCCAATTTTCTTGTCTTCTTCATTTTTCCTCTTTGTGTTTCCTCCTTTTCCAAACGGGTCTTCTTTTGTGGGAAACGTAGCGTTAACTTAACTCCATGGGTATTTTTGAATTGGGGATTCTGTTTTGATTAGGGATCAGAGTGATTGCTTTTCCTTTTTCCTTTTATACCAGAGGGACCTGCATGTTTAATGAATTATAACCGCATCTGATGGATGTTGCTTAAATGCCTTTAGAACGAATTTACCTTTATTCCTTTTGTAATTTTATGCCGATATCACTTGAATTAGTCTGTTGTTTTAAGCCGAATTGTGGCTTTTATGCTTTTGTTTAATTTTGAATCATGTAATTTTATTCCTTTATAGCTTTTGAAGGATCTCTTGTTGAATCTTCTTACTAAGAACTGGAATCCTTCAATCAAGTCAAACTTAATGTTATAGACAAATATGGAAACACGTCAAAGTGTATATTCTTCCGAAAGCAAGTTTCTGAGTATCTCCATTGTACGATGTTATGTAACTCTGTTCACAGGGAACAGAAGCAGGAACAGAAGAGCCTCGAATGCGATCTCCTTTAACGGAGAAATTTTCAAGCGAACGGTTCCCAAAGTCTCCACTTAAATATGGTGGTAATGGTCTGAGTTCTCCTGTTCTGCCTCCATTAAAGTTTCACTCTGGTTTGCTTACACCTCATAGCCATGCCTTCGCTACGTCATCTGGCCTGATCGATGGCGAAAGTGAGGAAAGCATCGATTCAGTCTCAGACGAAGAAGACGAGAATTTCTCTGACGGTGAAGTTTCTGTATCAAATACCTTGGATTACTTAGAGAAGCCAATTTCCCAGTGCTATGATGAGGAAGAATTATTTGGTTATAAAGGGCTTAAACTTAAACCCAAACCAGAAGGACGCAATGGGATTCTGAAAAGTGGACTGTTAAATGAGAATCTCACGATTGAAGTACCAGGAAGTGGCGTGAGAAGATTTACAGACGGCGAATTGGGCTATAAAAGATGTGCTCAAAATCAAAAGAATTCGACCCCAATTGGAGGTAGCCATCTTCTAAAGCAAGTCCACTTGAGGAATGCCAACAATAGCCATAATGACCTTGCGGAATTGGGAACTCCCAGTGCCCCTCCAATCATCGATGCTGATGTTTCACAGAAGAGAGATTCTGAAGGTTTGGTCATCGATGACCATACCCCTAATGGTTCTTGGTTATCAAGAGATTCAGTGGATTGTGACGTAAGTTCTCACGGGTGGAAAACCAAGACTATGAATGAACAATCCCAAAATGGATCTTGGCCGTCAAGAGAGTCAGTAGATAACGATGGAAGAAGTGTGAGCTCAAATGAATGGAAGACCAAGACTCTAGGAGCCTCTGAAATCAGTGCAAGGTATTACTATTGTTAGCTCTGTTGCAGTCTTTTCTCAGAACTTCTAATTTTTTGAGCTTTGTTTTGTAAATTTCCCCTTTTCTTTTGTCTAACACAATTTGGTGTCTTCTTGATCTTATTTTGTGCAGATTAGACAAAGTTTTTGTAGAAGATAAAGAAAAGCAAGCTACTCATTTATCGTACTACAATACCAGGTGTTGTTAACAATAGTCAAATGAATGTTTCTCAAAAATATTATAGCATGCAAATTCTTAACATACTTTTGTTCATCTAGTTAAAAGTGAGTAACATATAAAACACGGATATCAACGTACAGGTTGGCATTCCCTTGATACTAGTATACATGTATATTATCTGTTCTAGCCTTTGATCGTCGATACGTATCTTGAAATAATACACCTATTAATATATCATTGTAATTGCTTTTCACTTACTCTGCACTTTGACAAAGTGCAGTTAAACTTCATGATCTCTGTTTTATAGTGAGGTTATCAATTCAAACTATCCAAAAAATTTTGTGGTCTCTAATGTAACTAATTAATATGCTTTAACTAAAGCTGCCACTTTCCACGAAGCTGAATTAGAGTTCAGCTAAATGTTTGGCATATGTTCAATCTATGATTAGTTTCTTTTTATTATTTTGAAACTCTAAATCTGACATTCTCTCTACCTTTTACGGCATGTTATCCACAGTAATTGCAATAGCCAGTATGCCTGGCAAACCCTTATCACTTATGATGCATGTATACGTTTGTGTCTACAAGCATGGGCGAAAGGCTGCCCTGATGCACCTGAGTTTTTACGAGACGAGTGCCTGGCTCTTCGAAGTGCCTTTGGGTAGGTTTCCTTCCTTACGCAATTATCATGAATTTGACCTGTTCAGACTTCGTTTTGCTGTTTATATAATTCCCAACCCGTTCCTCTGAAACTCTTTGACTTTATAGATTGCATGAGTTTTTGTTGCAACCTCAAGGTGTAAGAAGACCTGAAGCCAGCAATCCAAGCAACTCAGAACAAATATGTCCTTTGAAAGTGAAGAAGGTTGTTGGTAAAATAAGGGTGGAAGGTAACGCCATGATGGGAACTCTACTTCATAATAATTATGTTTGTTCTTTTTCTTCTGTTTTCGGTGATCATAATTATGTTTGTTCTTGAGGTGACATGGATGGCATATTTATCGTCTCATTTAAACTTTGAAAAAAGGTCTATGTAACTATGGTCTTGTTCTTAAAGTGGACCCTCTTTTAACCTCATGAGGATTATTCAAGTACAATTAAACGGATAACTGCTTTAGTTATGTAATACAACACTAACTTTTTAAGAAATTTCAGTGAGGAAACTTCGGGTTATACCAAGACGCAAGCTCAGAAGCACATTTTCACAACGAGGAGCAAATTACATGCAAGCAGGGGTGGGCTACGTTCGACATGTTTCATCACTTGTGAAAAATGGCATAAATTCTAAGAAGTTGGTCCCATTTTCATTAGGATCAGAAGGTTAGTGCAAGTTATTTTCTGTAGAACATTTCTATATTTCCTTTCACTTTAAATAAATTTCATGGTTTGGAATTATTTTGACCTTGATATGCACTGGACATTAAAAAGAAGCAATTATAGATTATGAGAAGCATATCTTCACCCCTTGCCTCAAAGCCTGACCTTGATATGTCTCATTATTGTAGAGCCACTATTATGCCTAATTCAACTTAGGAGTTCCACAGAAGAAACTGAATCAGAGGCAAGCACTGCTGTTTGCTTGCGCCCTGGAAGTGGAGAATACCATGATTTGTAAGCTGGCTTCGTATTTTTTCTGCTTTCAACTGCACAAATTGTTCATTATTGGCGAATACCATGACTAGTAAAACATAGAGAAGCCAATGAAGCTGAAGGTTTAACGAATTCATCTTATCGTAGACAATTGGTGATAAAAAAACTTGAACTTTGGAACAACCTAAACAGTCAATGTATATCCATAGTACAAGACATTGATGTTGATTTGGAAGTTATCAGACAAATTATGTTTTTTTGAATCTTCATTAAAATGTTTAATTTAACATAAATTTTCTAATTTGTATTGGGAGCTAAACGTGTACACTGGACTCTGGCATCTAATTCTTGTATCTGATATGGAATTCTTGACGTTTAAATAAAGTTTACTTTTTAATGATCGATAGTCTCTAATGAATTTTATTCCATCGATGATCTCCTAAGTGGTCTTTTACTCATGTCTAATTCAGTTTCCCAGAGAGCCAGGGGGATGCATTACTTGTAGAAATTCAAGATTCAAAAAAGGCGGTCCATGGTCATGCTAGAATCCCAATTTCATCTCTTAGTGATAATCCTGTATGTCATCTACTATCTCATTATCTTTAGATATTATTACTCTTATACTTGCTTCATTTCCACATTTCTGATCAATATACCATTTGTGCAGAGTGAGAGAATTCGGTGGTGGCCAATATATCAAGATGAGCATGAATGCGTTGGGAAGATCCAACTCTCCCTCGGCAGCACAATGACAAATGATGAGAACAATCATATAAAGGTTCTTTCCCTACCAAATCAACTTAAACAGTATAAATCTTGTTCATTAAATATTTTGCTTTCAATTAACTCAAGAGGACAGTCCGGCAGTTGAGACTTGAGAACAGTAACAACATCATAATTAGATTGTTGAATTAGCCCTTGTCTAGCACCAGTAAAACAAAGCTTTGATCTCACATGGAATATAATCAAATGATATTATTAAAGATTGAAACCTGATCCTATAACATTCAAGGTATGTTGTTAAATCACACTTTTGATTCTTTGTTTTACCTCCGGGAATTGGCTCTTGAGACTTATGCCTGTCCAGCATATGTAGTATTCATTGTCAAGAGAGAAAATTGCCTTAATTTGATGAATCAAAAACTAGTTTGAGCATTTAATACATATCCCAGTTTCAGAGTATTATATCGGCATTTGAAGAGTAAAAGCCAAAATAGGAAGTTCTCTCCTGGGTTTAATCCCATTTTTTCATATTTTTATGCAGAGTGGTCCTGTTGTAGAAACTTTGGCTTATGATCTATTGCTTGAGGGTGCGATGCGTGCCCAGCAATTCCATTCCGGAAACTTGAGGCTAATTGGTCCTTGGAAGTGGTTGTTGGATGCATTTGCAGAGTACTATGGGGTTTCTGACTCATATGCTAAGCTGAGGTACTTGAGACATGAAACTTCCAATAATTGATTAGCCCTATCTCTTTTCCAGTAACTGAATTAGTCCTTCCAATCTTGGTAGATATCTGCTGCTAGTGATGAATGTGGCCACTCCAACAAAGGATTGCCTAGAGCTTGTGAGGGAATTACTTTTGCCGCTATTAAAAGCCAAAACAGAGAAGAGTTTGACCAGACAAGAGGTAAGCTATTTTGTATGTCTTTTCTCTTTGGTGCAAATTATTGAATCAAGCATGTTTAATAATTTATTTTTTGTTTCCGACTTTTTTTAGTGGTTATAACATTTGTGAAACAGTTAGTCTGTCTAGGTTGTAGGAACATCTAGTGAGTTGGAACTCCCTATTTTTAATGTTATGAGACTCAGACGACATACAATGTTGTTTGGCTCTCACAATTTGAGAGAAAACAGATACACAACGTGAATCAAAATTTGAGCAAATTTATTTTGAATGATGAATAACTGCTTGTTATTATTCAAAAGCTTATGGATATCGTTAAAATTACTGTGTCCATTATCATTCCTTCAACAGGTCTTTTGAAGAGACCTTAGAGCCTATTTTGTCCATTAATCAAAACTCGTTTAAATCTTGTGTAACTCAAGAACCAAGGCACTGATAGATGGACTATAACCTATTCTTAAGAAGTATCACGCTTGGTCATATGGGTTTCCAAGTCTCCTTCCATATTTGACCTATCACTTGTGATGAATTGCAACGACTTCTATATTTGACCTTAGAGCCTTATTTTGTCCATTAATCAAAACTCTTTTAATTCTTGTGTAACTCAAGAACCAAGGTACTGATAGATGGACTGTAACCCACTCTTAAAAAATATCATGCTTTTTCATATGGGTTTCCAAGTCACCTTCTATATTTGACCTATCACTTATGATGAATTACAACAACTTTCATAGGTATCACTCGTCTTTCATAGGTGATAATTTCTATTTTAATTCGAGTTTCACATGAAGGGTAGAAAAAAAGATGAAGCACAGTAACATTAGAAAATAGGCATAATTTAGGTACAAAATGTTTGAAGAAGTATCTGCTTCACAATTACATCACAAGGTTGAGCCATGATAAAATTATTTTCTCGCTCAAAATAGACTAGTCAACCTGTCTAATTGGACTGACCAGTTTGGTCTAAAGCCACCTAGTTTTGTGGAACCCCATCCCACTTGTGATACAAATTCCTAAGATCCAAAGACATTTGAAGTCCTGTTAGTTAAATCCCAATTAATAGTACTATTATATCAATAATTTGTAATTACTTTCCAGAATGGAAAAATGAAAGCCAATGATATTAATATGTTAAGCTCTTCTAAGCATCAACTATATTTTTATAGAAACGATGCCTTGCACATTTGTTTTATGTCCCTAACTACCTTTTGGAATGTATCAACTAACAAGTTCATTGGTTTGTTCTTGCAGAGAAATATGCTTTTAGACTGTGAAACTCAAGTTGAAAGCCTTCTTGGTAATGTTTTTGAGAACTACAAATCATTAGATGAAAGCTCACCAACAGGCTTGGCCGATCATGTAGGTCTAACAACAAATTCAGCAGCACCAGCACTAGCTCCCGCTGTACGAGTCTACACACTTCTTCATGATATTCTTTCTGTGGATGCCCAGACTATTCTTAGAAAGTATCTGCAGGTAATTTGCGGTTAGCATCCCCATAATACATGCTCTTATTCATCATAACTTATCATAAACACATATGTGTGTGTGAATCCTATCTTGCAATAAGATGCACTAACATACATTTCCTTGTTCAGCCAACTTTCGACCTCTGATTCTTTAGAATTTATAGATTATGTAATATTTTGTATAATTGTTTTTTAGCAAAAATATTTTTAGAGTGATTGAAATTGTAATTCATAAAACTTCTTTTAGCAGAAGATTACAGCAGAAAAAATGGCACAAATTTCCTAGGTTCATTTATTACCAACTCAGGATATAGAAAGAAAAGAAGTGCATGTTTACACAGACAGAGAAGTTTATCGAGCTTTTTTGGGTTTGGAAGCTTTTTTCTTTTAATCCAGTCAAAAGAAGTCTAAATGAAAATTTAATTGTTCCTAGACTGCAGCAAAGAAGAGGTGCAGGCAGTACATGGCAGAGACTGATGAATTTGTGTCAAGCAATACTGAAGGTTACCTAATGGATTCCATCAGCATCTCTACAGCTTACTTGAAGATGAAAAACCTCTGTGTCTATATGAGCAATGAAATTCAGGCAGATATGAAGATCCATAGCCAGAATATATTCCCAAGGTATATGGCAAAGTTTTGCAAAGGAGCTCCTGTGTGATAAATTGACACAGTTCAATGACCTCACTTTGCATTCTTCATTATCCATTTTCTAACGTGTATCACTTGAATTTCAGTTCAGTTGACCTCACAAACATCACAGCATCCGTTTACAGCACCGAGCTATGTAACAGGCTTAGAAGTTTCCTATCTTCTTGGCCGCCATCTAGTCCGCAGCCACATGTGAATGAACTTCTAGTTGCAACTGCTGATTTTGAACGGGATCTTGAGTTATGGAATATAAGGTATGAGAAGGAAACTTCTCTCCTAGCACTATGACAGCCAATAACAACAAAAAAATTAGATCCTTCACATGAAAGTACGGTATCTGCTCTGACATGATGTATTTTCCTGCTTCAGTTCCCCACAGGGGGGTGTAGACTCCAGAAATTTGTTCCATAACTACATTCTGGTCTGGATTCAAGATATGCAACTCAGTTTACTTGATCTTTGCAAAGCAGAAAAGGTAATCATTCTCAGTTTAAGCAGTTATGAAAAGTCAAAGCATACAGCAATAAAGTTTCTTAAATGATAAAAATTATTAGAGATCAGATCCTTCTCATGGATGTACCGCATTTATTCTCTCTGTTGGGATTGAAATGACTAGTACACATAAATGTTGCAGGTACCATGGTCTGGAGTAACCACAAACCATTCCACTTCTCCATTTGCTGAGGAAATGTATGAAAAAATCAGAGACAACCTCATTCTATATGAGGTGGTAATTAATAGATGGCCTCAGTATTCACTTTATTTGGAAAGTGTAAGTTCTAAACTTGAAACCATATAGATGGGCTACAAAAAACCTTTCGACACCATATCATCACAAAGCCATATGCATATAACAAACTTTTGTCCTATTTTGCTACAGTCATATTTCCAGTTTCAATGAATCTTTTTTTGGGGGGTATGGGTACCATTTTCCTCCAATATTACCCATTATTTCACAAGCAATGTGATTTTCAGTTTTTTCACATCTTGGCATAGAGTGGATAACTGGTAAAGTTCTTTCAAATTATAATAATTTCATTTTCCATTTTGGAAGGCTGTCGCAAATGTTGAAAGAGCAATCTTGAAAGCCCTCGAGAAGCAGTACAATGATATTTTAACACCTTTGAAAGATAGCATACCCAAGAGACTTAACTTGCAAGTTCAAAAGCTAGCAAGAAGACAATCAATGCCTGTTTATGCGGTTCCAAATCAAGTAAGTTCTTTGTATGCTTACTTCTAAAGCTAGGGATTTTGAGTGGCTTTGGGGTCAAAACTCAAATTTCATTAAATTCCTGTTCATTAACACTTGCGGTATTTTGTTTTATTTAGTTGGGGATTTTTTTAAACACCATCAAGAGGATTCTTGATGTCCTACATTGCAAAGTAGAAGACATTTTAAAGTCTTGGGCATCCTATCTGCCAGCTATGGGAGATAAGAAATCACTCTTCGGGGAGCAAATAAATGGAGTCACCGTTCTACTGAGAACCAAATACAAGACTTATTTGCAGGCAGTAATAGGGAATCTTGTTAACAATGTAAGTTCACTCAAAATCTAGTTTCCTCGTTTGGCATGCTTTCACATCTAAGAGTATGATCCATTTGCTTCCATAAAACACTTCTTTTGGTTTAGCAATGTAAGTTTACTGGGGCTCCTGCTGCTCAAAACCCTCCATGGGTAGCCTTCTTCGCAACTGTCAACAACCTGGCTTTGATATTAATTGATAGGTACCTAAGTGGGATAGGGACCCCTATTGCAAAAGCTAGTTATTGAGGTAGGAGAACATTGTAAGTTCACTTGGCCTCCTGCTGCTCAAAACCCTCCATGGGTAGTCCTCTTCGGAACCGTCAACAACCTGGCTCTGATATTAATTGATAGGTACCTAAGTAGGATAGGGACCCTATCCCAAAATCTAGTTGTTGAGGTGGGAGAACTAACCCACTTAAATACCTTATTAAACATCTCATTCTATTTAACGTGGAACTTGATATCCTATACTACCAAGTCTCTATCAATTGGCTACCCATGGAACGCTTATGTCCCAGCATTTGTACTTTAGTGCAATTTGCTTAGTCTCCTCCAAGTCAAAACGTTCCATAGGCAGCTCTCTCCAAAACCATCAACAACATGGTTCGGATGCCAGTTGATAGGAAAGCTTACGTCCTAGCATTTGCACTCTAGTACAGTTCACTCAGCCTCCTGCCAGTCAAAATCCTCCATAGATAGCCCTTTCCAAAACCTTCACCAACCTGGTTCTGATGCCAATTGATAGGAATTTGCTGCCCATGGAAAGCCTACGTCCCATCATCTGCACATCAGTGCAGTTCACTCAGCCGCCTGCCAGTCAAAACCCTCCCTCCAGAACCGTCAACGACTTGGTTCTGATGCCAATTAACAGGTACCTAAGTGGGATGAAAAAACCTACCCTAAAAGCTAGCAATTGATGTGGGAGAATCAATCCACCTAAATATCCCATTAAACATCTATTCTACTCAATGTAGGACTTGGCATATCATACTACCACGTCTCCAAAATGTAACATTGCACTTAGTGCGGGAGAACCAAACAACTTAAACATCTCATTGAACATTCTGTTCTGCCCAATGTGGGACTTGGTATCCCATATTACCAAGTCTCTATCAATGATCAACAAATGTAATGTTGCACTTAGTGTAAAAACAAAGTTGTCATTAGATGATTATCTAACCGTGACATGAGCGAAGCATCTACAATTGGATGTATTGTCACATGAACTAACCATTCATTGGCACGATTTAACACTAAAGCTGTTAAAGTCACACTAGTTTGAAACAGAGCAACAAGTGAAGCTGTTGTGACTAAATATGTAAGACTTTTTATTTGGTTAGATGCAAGCTAACCGAAGCACAAGACTGAAAAGAATTTTGGAGGAAACAACAGAACAAGATGGGGAGGCCGAAATCCGTGAGAGAATGCAATCGCTGAATGCGCAACTCATTGATTCAATCTCCAACCTGCATGAGGTCTTTAGCAGTCAGATTTTCATTGCAACATGCCGTGGATTATGGGATAGAATGGGACAGGTGAAGAGTTCTGTTGTATATTGTATCATATCAATATGATTTGCCCTAAATCTTAAATACTTTTTTTTTTTACCTTGAAAATCTTAAATACTTGACAACTCTAATTTCTTTTTTCTGTTTATTTGTGTCAGATTGTTTTGAAATTTTTAGAAGGAAGGAAAGAGAACAGGATATGGTACAATGGATCTTACTATGCTCTTGGGGTAAGTTGTTCAAGTCAACCTGTGTGTGCTTAAGTTTGCTAGTCTCCATTTGCAACCATATATCCATCAACAGTTCAAGGGCAGCAGATACACAAATATTGCTTAACACTACCGTTTTAGTTATATCTGATGATAGCTTTTTCAATTAAAAACATATCGATTGTTAAAAAGCACCTACGTTAGGGGAGTGTTTATGATTTATAAAACAGAAAGTAGTAGTGCCTTCTCTCTTTCTTCCAGATGACATCGTTTTGACTATTGATAAATGAAAAATAAACAGCAAGATCCACCTAGAATAACAGTATTTTTTAAAATTATTTAAAGTATTTATCATTAACAAAAAGAGGAGAATTTCAACTATGATACTCATTAAACCTTTATAAATTCGGTTTAAAAATTTACTTGTCTCCTGTAACTCCAAATGAGTAGATATATCTTTTTTTTTCTTTTTCTTTTTTTTTAAATATCCAAATTAAGTGAATATCAAAACATTTATTTCATTGTCTGACTGAGCAGATATTGGATGACACCTTTGCTTCCCAAATGCAACGCTTGAGAGGAAATGCACTGCAAGAGAAGGATCTCGAAACTCCTCGTTCAGTGATAGAAGCTCGATCCATTCTTTCCAAAGATACCACAAATGCGTCTGATCCATCCACTTTCTTCTATGTCTAGCAATTCCTTTCATATTTCCTTTGTACATCTGCTTCATAGTATTCTTTTCTTTCTTATTCTCAGAAATCAAACATATTCTTTCTGCATATAAGTGTAACAAATAAATAATAATTTTGTTCATATAGAAGGTCGCGAAAAATTAGCTTCTTAAGTTGGAAGCCATTTTCAAGTCCATCTCTGCATTCCTCAGCTGGGGATATATATCTCTTCAGCCCTAAAGAAGTGCCATTGAACACCAATGCCCAGTTTATTAATTTCATTTTGCAATTTTTTATTTTACTTGATTCATTTATAAATCGAGTCATTTACCTGAATTCCTGATAAATTTTATTGATATTTTACAAACTTTTCGTCTCGTTAAGTTTTAATTTTTAGCTAAAATACTCAATAAAAATTACTTGAAGAATGGTTAATAAAATGTAAAATTGAATTAAAATATAACATTTTCGATTATTCATGTGTACTCCGAAAGTAGGAGCCGATAGTTCAAAAAATAAATTACATTATTTTCATTAATGATTTGATTTGGTTCCATATAACCCAAGTGACACCCACAAATTTTGTTTTCAAAATTTTCTGACTGGGACATAAGAAGCGTTTGGCAACTCTTAAAAGTACTTCTAAGAAATACTTTTCCGTAAAACGATATAAACTCTTCTATATATTTATTTCATAAACCGTACAAACACTTTTAAAATCATAATTTGGTTTCCATCTAAATACTCATATAGTCAAACTAAATAATTATATCAAAAGCCCAAATTTACTTCTAAAGTTTTGACACCATAAAGCCCAAATGGCCATAACGGTCATCCACAGCTGGGCTTCTCATAACTTCGTTCAAGATAAATGTGGTCAAAATAAACCGTTTTCTCAAAGACAACATAAGCGCTTTAATTCAACATTATACACATATCATCAAGGAAGATCCGCTAGGAGATAAAATATTGGCCAATATATAGTTATATGCAAGCTTGTAAAGACAAAAATAAAGACATTTTAGGGTCATCATATCCCTAATTGTGTTTTTCATTTTTCTTTTCTTCCTTTTTTTTTTGGTGGCGGAGGGTAGGAGCAAAAAGTTGGCCATAATCATCAATATAAATCAAATCTACACCGAACTACACTATTTAAAGCCATAGAGCTATTTCTCAGATTTCGTATCCATATTTAGTAGCAGTATATGCATAACATGCTAATAGTCGATGAGCAGTTAGGGTCCACAGAACGCAGTTAATAATCGGAAAAGTAGATCCCTTTTCACTGTGATATGATGCAAAGAACAATAAAATATTAAAAACACCTAGAAACACAAGTGGAAACCGAACAGAAATCTAGAAGTATCCAACTATCATTACTCTAAAGTACTTGGATAAATAAGGGGGATGACAGTCTGAGCAATTATAACTTTCAAGGGCAATTTGATTAAACACGCTAAGAAAAAAGGAGCTCAAGCACTAGACAATTGAGCAAACTACAAAACCACTAAAGAGGGGAAAAGGCAGGGTGGGGAACAAATTGCATATCACATGGCGAAATAAAATCAGTTGACAACTACCAAGGCAAAGGATAGCAATACGCTGTTATAGAATCAAGAAACAAAACTCAGCAAAAGTTACATAGATTTTCCTCTTCCTGCGTGCCAGACCCCCTTTTGCTTAGTTGATGATTGATGGCAACAGAACCTTAATCTATCTTTACTGAGGAGAACAAGTAGTGCACAAAGTAAAATGACATTAGGAAGCCAATGGCACCGGTTGATAACATGATTGCAATTGCCATGAGCAGTGAATAGCCAAGGTAGAGGGCAGCTGAGACAGGTCCACTCAGACTCTGAAGGTCGAAAACCAAATAATTGATAGAGTACAAGAAGACATAAAGGGCAACAGAGCCTGAAGCGTAGAATGCCTTCCACCACCACCGCCAATCTTCCACACAAAGATGCATATAGGTGAGAACCACGGACACTTCAGCACAAACAATGACCAGCAGTAGAAGAACTACCAACAGAAAGCCAAATACATAGTAGAACCTCCCAAGCCAAATACTGGAAAGGATGAAGAAGAGCTCAATGAATAGGGTTCCAAATGGAAGGGTTCCTGCACCGAGAACAAGAAGCCATGATGGGTATTTGCGTGCCGGAATTTCCCTTGGAATCTGATTAGTTCGCACAGGATATTCAATTGGATGAGCTCTTGTCCCCATAAATCCACCAACAAGGGTAAGTGGCACTGAAATACAGAACCAAAGGAAGAACAGTTCAAAGTATAAGGAAATGGGAAGAGCACCAGTACTGTTGCTGCCCCAGAGAATAAAATTCAACACTGTTAATATGACAAACGCAATTCCGGGGAAAAAGCATGCTGCAAGCCAGGAAATTGACCTCCATCCTTCTGGAGTTCCCTTAATGGTTCTCCAGAGACGTACACCGACATAACCAGAAGCAATGCCCAGGAAAAGATATAGAATTATCATCCCCGTCAGAAGCATCCCTCGGGAAGCAGGTGACATGAAACCAAGGGCTGCAAAAACAATAGTAACAGCAGCCATTCCAGTAATCTGAACCCCATTACCAACCATCACACAGAGAAGCTTTGAGCAATCAGGCTCTCTAAATACATCACCCACAACAAGTTTCCATCCTGAAAGCTCCTCATTCATCTGAGCTTGTGCCTCTTTGTCCAATTCTTCATACCTTGTCAAGTCTCTTCTCACAGTTCTTAAGAAAATGACAAAAACAATACCTGCTAGGAAAAAAATCACCATCAGTGAATTTAGGATTGAGAACCAGTGTACTCGAGCACCCTCCATCTTCAAATAAGCATCCCAACGTGATGGCCATCTTATATCACTCTTTACAAATTCAACCTCATATGTAAACGATACCCTCTCCTGCTCCCTAATTATTTGATACTTGTCGATCTCAGCTGGGCAGCTTATTGGGGAGAGATTATCATACAAGTGGTACTTTGTCATAGCTTCAGGATCATGTTTAATACTACAAGGGACAACCTGAAAACCAACTATTTCATACCCAGATGCTTTCTTCTTGTCAGCTTCAGAGATAACACCCATTCCTTCCTCTCCAGTTCCAATAATCTGAACACCACTACCTTCATATTCATGAACCAAGACTGTGAATTTGAGATGGTTAATGATGTAGTCCGCCCCACCATCAGGTGGAGTATACCCAACTGGAAACCCTGTCCACTGAATCTTAACCCCATTTTGATTAGCAAACCTCATAACTGGTAAGTTATCAAGGATCATATTTACCTGGTATAGATCCCGTGTTCTTTGTTTCAACAGCTTTACCTCATGCTCATTTAACGAAGGAGTAGTACATAGGTAGACTGTCTCATTGGTATTCATTCTGAAACGATAGGGTGAGTTATCAATCTGATCTCCCATAAGAAGTTCTCCAAGATTCTCAGCACTTTTCTTTACGCCACCATGGGGCTTACAGTACGGGAGACTGTAGTAGCTGAACGGAAGCTCAGTTTCAATAGAAGTCAATGAATTAACTTTGGCATATATGGGATCTCCATTGGAATAAGTGTGCATGTAGCTTCCAGGAAGATAAAAAGCATTGCTAAATTGGGAGAAGACAATGATAGACAGGAAAACCCGGTTGATCCAGATTTTCCTTGGGGAAGGTAACTCCATTTGATTGAACGAAATAACAGCAGATACTTTTCCTGTGAATCAGCTAACTCGACTGATGCATTCAAAACTGAATCTACAGAAGAATAAAATTTTGATCTTAGACTGCAAAACTCTATCTAGAAGAATGCAAACAGATGCAAAGTTTTCACATCAGATCCAATATTTCTCAGGCAGAAGTAACGAAATGGCTTCCTAGATCGGCCAACGAACTACCCCAAAGTAGATTACAGAGCTTATTCAGGGGATGTACCGGGAGAGAAACAACTACAGGAATAGCAGTAATTAACCCGAGCCAGAAGAATAAGAACAATTACGACTAATAATCAATTCATCTACAGAAAACAGAAGCAACGAAAACAAATAAACTCACATTCAAAACAATCACAGAAAAGAAAGAAAAAAGGCAATTAAATCCACATCAAACTACAAATACAACATCTTCCTCGAAATCTGAGAATAAAGAACTTAACCACCATACGTTAATAAAGATCAGCTTCTTTCTGCAATTCTTCTGATACAAAGAACGAGAAAAGGAAAATGGGAAAGAAGGAAAAAAAGACGACCTAGTACAAGAATAAGAAAAAGAAGAAACAATAAACCACGAGATCTGGCTATGCTCTCGTCTATCCACAAACATAATGTGAAAAATCATAAGCTTCAGTAATTTGAGAGGAGGGGGTACGAGAGGAAGAAGAGGTGACTCACCAAGGATTCTGCCGAGAGAGATCTCAACGCGCCAGATCGTCGGGGAGCGAAGAAATGGAAATAGAGAAATGCGAAGAACACGATATTGTTGGGTCACACGAGACGAGAGAGAATCGATCATTTTGAAATAAAAGTGCCGGCCCACCATCGTTCAAAAATTACAGGCCCATTATTTAGTGTGGTTAATTCTGGTTACTTAGTACCAATTTCTTTTTATTTTTTTGACCTGAACTTAATATCAATTTCTATACTCGACTAATAACTTAAATAAATTAATTCTAATAAAAAGATATTTATGCTTAGTAAAAAAAAATATTGACTATTGCTAATAGTGGTTGAACCTGCCAAAAGGAACTAGTTCATTACAACTTAATGAACCAAAATTAATTTCACACTAGAAGAAGTTCACACATTTAATATTCAGTATTATGCTTAGAGGAAAAAAATTGACTATTGTACCAAAAAAATAACTAAGAATTTTTTTATTGTTTATGATAAAAATTCTATAAAATTCGCCAAGTCTGATACAAATAATACAAAAAATATTTTTCAGAAAATATAACGTCTAGCCACAATTAAATTTTTGTCACATGAAAATTTAAAAAGGGGCAAGCTAATTACTCATTTCCATTCTCATGATGTCAAAGCAGATCAAATTAATCTTTAAAATAATGAATGATGGGGAGAATGATAATTAGGTGCCAAGAGATTTATTTAATAATAATTAGATAAAAATTGTTGGGAGGTAAGTGTCATTTCATCTAAGTAATAAACATATCACCACCGCCAAGGAGTGAAGTGATATCTGAGCCCACGTGAGAAGACAATAACTAAAAGACAAATGGTCCCGAAAAAATGCAAATGATCATGACGATGATTTGACAACGATCAGATAAATATTTCCCAAAATTTGGAAGCTAATAATCTTTGTTGTGTTTTTGATGTCTCCAATAAAACGAGTAGTACTAAAAACACATTCTCTAGAAGCTTATATATGATTGAAACATATAAAAAAAACAATTTTTGCATACACGAAACGTATAAATTTATTCATAACATTAAGCCACTCAATGAACTATTATAATCCAACAAGCTATTAATTGAGATTATAAGCAATTTTATCCCGTAAAGAAAAGAATATAAGTTTAAATCTTCAAAAACACATTTATTGGGAGGTTTTAATTTCAATGCTCTCGACCCAATTAAAATTAATCTCAAATTCAATATGATTTAAGAATATTCTGAGTCGTAAAAAAAACCATTATGATAGTCAAAAACTGTAAAATCACTACAATATAAAAACTTAGCAGCCATAGAATTTCAAACAAATTGGTTACTTTATTTGTTGCCTTAAATTAGGAAATATTATTTTGACCAAAGAAAATTAGGAGATATTAGTAGATAGCATCCAAATTCTTACCTATTGGATCAAATTTTGAATGGTTAGGATTTAACATTTTATAAAATAACTTTTTTATTTCTTTCTTAATTATAGTTTTGGACTATTTAGATTAACTTTTCACAATTTTAATTTATTTATTCATTTTCAAAATCTCACATCTTAATAGTAATTTTGTACGATGTTAAATCTTAGCTATTTAAAATTTGATTGAAGGGCTGACGCGGGAAGTGGAGAAGAAAGATATAGAAAAAAAGCTAAGTTCGTTTTTAAGAAATAGGACATCTTAATTCATGGAGACGAAGTCCATGATACCTTTGTTTTCCCTCTATTTTTCCCTATAAAACACTCCATGATAATCTAGTCTTCTCTATAGCTAGCCAAGTAGGCCAAAGTAAGGATATAAAGGAGGCTTAGTGACAGGGATGCTGCAAACAGAAAAAAGTTGCAGTAAGTAGTCAAAAATATTCCCACTTGTTATCATGTTCTTCTCCCACGAGCCACTACAAGATGAAGAAGAGAATTACAGGATGTTCACATTATGTCCCAAAAGAGTGAAGAAAGATACAAATGATCCAGAAGAGAATATTTATAACATATAATACACATATTTAGTGGAACTTGAGGCTGGTCAAGACATTGTTGTGCACAGGATCAGCCAAATGATCCAGAAGGTTCTGGTAGGGTCCAACACCAGTCACAAGACCTTGTACAAAGTATCCCAAGATAGCCAACATAGCCAACCTCCCATTCTTCACTTCTTTCAGCTTCAAATCCTTCATTGACTTCTCATCCTTCCCAAAGCCAAGGGGGTTAAAGAATGGGCCTCCAGGGTACGCGGGGTCACCAGATCCTCCTAAGCCCTTCTCTAGGCCCAAGAAGTACTGCTTCCCCATGGACCCAGGCTTGGCCCAATCTTGGAATCTCCTGTGCTCTGCAAAGCCCATTAGAGCCATTTCTAACACAAAGAGGGTGTACGGATCAGCCCAGTAGTTGTAGGTTCCAGCAGGCGGGATCACTCCAGTTTTGAACCATGGAAGTGCTGTCTCCTCAGGGATTAGACCAGCCTTGCCTAGAATTTCAGGTGCTATGGCTCCTGCTGCTCCCAACATTGCAAAACGTCCGTTGATGATTTCACCATAAGCTAGCCATCTGGGTTCAATGAACCCTCCAGGTCCTTCTGGGTCTGAGAGTCCCAGTGGGTCAAATCCAAAGTCACCTGGAAGACTGAAATTGATACATGCCCATTAAAGTCAAGTCAATTCCAACAACTTCAGCCATGTCTACTGTGAAACTAGTTTTTTAATTCTCTGAGGATATATTTTATCCAAGTTTAATCTAGCAGAGTTCAGTCCTTAGGCCAGAAATACTTGTTTTGTTCCGTCTTGTTCTTATGTCAACTCTTATTAACACATAATTAATAGACATAGCATAATGTCAAGTTGAATCATGAATGTGTGTGGTGGATCCACATCATCAGTTCTCCTCTTACTTGTTCATATATGTGGGAGATCCGAACTTATATGTTTATGTGCTGAGGTCAAGTAATCTCTTAATAACTCAGCTAGTTACCTGTTATCCATTTCTATTGTTTCTTTTACCAATAGCAAAAAGCAAAACTCAAATTCTTATTATTAGGCCTTTTACCCTCAGAAAATATCAATTGAAAAAATTTCAGACACTGGCATGAAGTTTTTACCTGCCATCCAAGTAGGAAAGACTCTGTTTGGATGCAAACCACAAGGGTCTATCAGCTCCTTGCTGAACACAAAAAAAAAAAAACAAACCACCACAACAAAAGAGAAGGCCGTTTCAATATCCAGCAACACACACACACATATATATAAAAATATATATTTCAAAACTAATCACACACGCATAAAAGCAAACACATAGAGAGCGAGAAAGTGAGAGACATCATATAGACCTTGACAGGAGGTGTGGAAGATGCCTTCACTACAAAAGAAGTCTTTCTAGATGACCCAGTTGGATACTGGGTTGATCTCCCTCCCAGAATCTGCCTCGCAGCCTGCACCGACGAGGTGAGAGACGATGAAGATACCAAAGCTTGTGTCGCCATTATCAGAGAGGGAGACAGAAGGAGAGGGAGAAAGGGAGGGAAAGAGAGAGAGATTTGTGGTGTATTTTTAGAATGTGGCAAAGGGTTAGGGAGTTGAGAAGATGATATCTATGGGCTGAGTAACCAATAAGCCAAGGAAGAAAGATATGGAAAGAAGATAAGCCACTACTTGTGATTTCATGCAGGAACATCGGAAGCGAACTCATGGTGGAAAATGAAGAGAGGTGGGCCACGTTGGGAGCTCCAGATGAGGATTGTATCTGCTTCTCCAACGAGCATTGTACACGTGGCAGGGTGAATTGGATAACGGATATGATTTTTTTCCCCCTTCCTCTCGTGGCATTGTTACGTTGCTGTTGCTCACATGAGCTGCAGTCCACGTGCCACCAAAGGAAATTTTTTGCCAAATATATACCTCATATCTTTAATATAATAGTTAATTAACTAGTTTTATTAGATTAAAAAAATTAATTAAATTATTTATTTATAATAAATAGATGTTGTCTTTTTTAAAATTTTTTTAATAATTATATGTATTACCATTTGATAAAACATCTAATATATGCAATCACCACTACAAAAACTAGCTTAAAAAAATAAATAAATATGTGAGACAAAATCGATTAACTTTTATATCTAGGATCAAATTAAATGTTAAATTAACTCATATTAAATCAAGAGGCAGTATATCTTAAATTCTGAAGTAATTTACCCATACGCCATATGTCTTTAAAAAAAAAAAAAAGATCACCTTACAGCCTAGTTACATGATGTAAACCATTTATGCTTTGAATTGGATTTCAAATCAACCCTCTCTATGGTATTAAAGAGAGTTATATACTGTCTTATAATTTTTTATCAAGTTTTTTTATTCATTATAATAAACGTATGTGACTTTATTAAAGGTGAATTTGGTAATATCTATATATTTGTAAAATATCATATACATGAACGGGAAAAATATCGTTTGCTGGTAAAAAAAAAAATCTTTATTCATCATAAGCAATGAATGATGAATAATATAATTTATATTTGAGGTAAAAAAAACATTTATATTAAATCTTGTGCAAATATTATTTTTTATTTTATCTCCGTTTTTATGTCTTTTTCAACAAGCTAAATACTACCCTAATTATAAAACCTGGTTTAATTTAAAGATTACAAATAAAATTTTATAATTAGAATCGAACTGGAGTGCAGTATCATGCAAGAAAAAGATCAAGCAGAACAAAGCTCGGATACTATGCACACAGATTCACAACATTTACATCGAATCTTCCCAAAAGGGGTGTGTGGTCGGAGAAACTCTCTCCTTCAAAATCTCTAAAAATTATGGAAACCCAGTTGGAAATCTTCCATTATATATTTTCAACTACTTAATAGTGATTGCTATATACCACCTACGGTACTTAGTGTTACTTTTAGTTCTAATTATAAAATATTATTTGTAATTTGTAAATAAAATCTATAATTAGAACTAGAGGTACTATAAGAGAATTTGAGAAGACTAGAAAAGTTAATTAATAAGTTAGTATTTGTATTAAATAGATGTTGTCTTTTTTAATACCACCTCCGGTATTTAATATAAGACCTCATTTGACTTTTATTTTGATCATAAATATAAGATTCCAATCCATTTTGTTCTAATATTTATGCATTCTTTTTTCCTAAGATGGTCTTTCTAACACACTTAATTAGCAATGATATTTAGAAAGACAACACCTATTTATTACAAATAACTCACTTAACTTATTTTCTTAATCTTCTCAAATTCGCCAACTAGCTCTTATAATTAGGATCAGTGGTAGTATACTGTTATTAATCACGTATATGTTTGAATTAGCTATTGATAGTAACTTTTTAACATATACACAGGCAAAATAGATAAATAATTAAATATTAAAGAGAAAGTGAATTGAAGTCTTATATTTAAAATCAGATTAAATGTCAAGTTATAAGCACGGAAGGCAGGACGTGGGAAAGGTTTTTAACATCTACCATCTCCTGAAGCTGCCAGCTTGATGGTAACAGCCAAACACTTAGTTAGAACATAGTTGCAGTCTGTTATACTATCTCTGATATTTAATATGAGAGCTGATTAACTAATTTGAATAGATTAAAAATGAGTTAAGTTAGTTATTTATAATAAATAAGTATTATTTTTTCTAAAATATCCTTACTAATTAAGTGTGTTGGTTATAACTACCATTATTACAAGAACTATCTTAGAAAAAAATAAATAAATATGAAAAATAAAATAGATCAGGGTCTTATATTTATGACCAGAATAAAAATTAAATTAATTCTTATATCAAGAATGTTAGTAACAACAATGGCATTCCTATAATAGTTTGACATCCTTCCATCGCTTCAAACCCAAATTCCTGATCTTTATGGCATCTTCGTCATTGTCCGTGGCCACATGCAAGTAAACCTCACACATGTTCTCCTCGGAGGACAAATCAAGAGCACGATTCGTCAGCCTTGTTCCTGCGTATGCCTCCACTATTCACATAAGTCAACATCAACAGACACTTAAAAATTAATGGTGATTAATTAATAAAGTTAAATGTGTGTTCAAATGTTTTTCTCACGCCATACACCAATCATCTGTTTTTAGAAGGACTGTATTCTGACAAGTATGCTTGCACACTAAGAACACAATTCAGCTAACAAATGTGAATTATATATTGTGGATCTTTAGCAATTATGTAGCTGAGTATTTGTCCACTTGAGAAAAAAGAACAACAACAATGAATGGCTGTACGGGGTATCAACTTCTTTTCTTTGCACTTAACTTTCTTTATGGATTTCGTTATAAATGTTTGGATAGAAACCAAATTATGGTTTTAAAAGTGTTTTTACGGTTTACGAAGTAAATATGTGGAGGAGTTTACCTCGTTTTACGGAAAAGTACTTTTGAGAATGACTTTTGAGGGTTGCCAAATACCCCCGTAATATATATTCCCACCACTTTTATGATTACAGATTATCCAAATCGTAACAAGTGCTAATTACAAAAGAAACTTAAGTTCTTCATATATACTTGCGTACTGTTTTATTGATTGACATATTACCTTTAGTCCTTAATATAAGGCAAATTGACTAATTTAAATTGATTGAGAAAATTTGATAAGTTATGAATTTATAAAAAAATAGGTGCTGTCTCTTTTTAAATACCTTTACTAATGAGTG